AAGCGTTGCTCTAAGTCTGCCCCTTACCTTCCTGTTCTCCTTGAGACACAGAATGCGTGTTTCAACACGATGTGGCATAAAGCTCAACTTTTTTTACCCCCTGCGGTTTTGTTTATAGTTTGGTATGCTTCATAATTTTTTTTGTTTTTTGTCCTGACAGGTGGCCATGAGAGCACTGGGGTTTGAACCTAAAAAAGAAGAGATCAAGAAAATGATATCAGATATCGACAAGGAAGGAACAGGAAAAATCAGCTTCAGTGACTTCTTGGTAGTGATGACACAGAAAATGGTATGTTAATTTTAAAAGTCCAAGCGAAAGCACTTTTGAAAGTGGCTGAGTACCTTTCATCTCCTTTTGGTTTTAGTGGAAGATGAAAGCACTATTTTAATCTTAACAACAAAACAGATAAAAATTAGAGTTGCAAGGCAGGGATTACCCTATCTCATTTTTCAAGTTAAGGTTGAAACATTTATGTCATTAACAGGTTTTTTTAGCAGTTTTGTGGGGGGGGGTGAGAAAAGGGAAAAACTGAAATCAAGATTTTTATCACAGATTAAAACCAGCTCTGGCCGGCAGAAAGCTGTCGGGGGTATTGACACGTGACACGGATGACTGTGTAGCAATGCACTGTATTTTCTTTTCTGGAGTTTTAAGATTTTTAAAACCAGAGATTTCATCTGTAAGTATTTGAAACACGTTGAGTAAAACCAGGTATTTGACAGTGGAAGATCCTGATACTGAAATCGCAAAGACATCTGGCTAGCTATGAAAGAAAAAAAATTCCCTGTAACCCTGAGGTTTGGGAAGCATCGCTGTGTCTCTGCTGCCTTCAGCTTTTGCACGAACACTTCCTGCTGGCTGGGCTTCTTTAAATTTGCTCTTAAGAGCGTTTCTCAGTCTTTCTAAGTCTTTCATAACTTTATTTTGAGTGGTACCTACAACATAACCACTACTTTTTTTTCCTTAAACTTATGCTGACTTCTTTAAGGCTGAAAAAGATTCCAAAGAGGAGATTCTCAAAGCTTTCAAACTCTTTGATGACGATGAAACTGGCAAAATCTCTTTCAAAAACCTCAAACGTGTCGCCAAAGAACTGGGGGAAAATCTCACAGACGAAGAGCTGCAGGTTTGTACCTGGTGTATGAAGCCGTACATACACCAAGGCTCGCTGTCTGCCTTTGTGTGCAGTGAGCATAGAAGGGTCCGGATGACGCCGTGCCCGTTGAGTGGGGAGGCAGTCGCAGAATGGTCATTTATTACTTGGTTTCCTATTTACATTCGTTTAAAACCTGTGTAAATAGTCACAGTCTAATTCCCCTTCTGTCTGGGGAGCTGAGCCGCCTCTCCGACTGGTCTGAGCTAGCAGTGAGAAGAAGGAATGGGCATCTCTGGGTGGGGAAGGAAGCCCTCTCAGGGTCGGTTTTCAGGTAAAGGCAGCAGCCTCCCCGTTTGAGGCGCTGTCCTCCAGCGTCCTGTGGGATCTGTACGCTTGAGCTGTTGGGAAAATCGTCTCCTGGCAGGAATGGAAGAGCTTCTGTCGATTCGTGATTGGGAAATGGGTTCTGAGGGCGAAGATGGGTTAAGCACGTGTGGCTGTCGACATGGCGTCGGTAGAATTGCAGTTCTATGGAGTGACGGTGATGTAAAAGGAACAACGCTGCTCCAAGCGCTTTGTTTCTTCTAGGAGAGTTCCTATAGTACAACATTTTTCTATACAGATTTTTGTATAAATACATATATGAAAACAGACTAGTGTCTAGTTTAGTAAATATTTTGTAGCATAGTAGGTCTGACATTGAGCTAACACTGTCCCCTCCAATGCAATTTACTAAAAAGTGGTTCTAATTCTGAATTAATCCGCTAATTCTAATCCTAGTCTAATCTGCATCTAATTTCTGAATACAAATATCTTTCAGGAAATGATCGATGAAGCAGATAGAGATGGGGATGGGGAAGTGAACGAGCAAGAATTCTTGCGGATCATGAAGAAGACCAGCCTTTACTGAGACAGAATTTTATTTATTTTTGCACATGTGTATATACGTTTGGTAGGTGCCTCACTTTTTTACAGTCTTTTATTTCTTTTGAGAGAGCAGAAAATATAGGTCAATTTTTTTTTTAAGTGGAAGATCTTAAACTTGTGTTTGTGAACAGTTACCAACTGCTAACCTGTTTACATGTAGCAACGTGGTTGCTTGTTTGTGCTCCTAGGATGTTTACACTCTTTGTTTTCGATACACAAATCACGTTTTTCAGTGACAGTATTCAGATCCTTCTCTGACTGAAAACCAAGGTTATGGTTTGGGAAAGAGAGGACTCAAACCCAGATAGTGTAAATCTCTGTTGCCCAGCAGCTGAAGTTTTTGGTTTAACGTCTTGGTTTGGGCCCAGCTGTAGTGAACTCTTTATATGACATATTTGCAGGGATCAGCTTTTTATACACTGTCTGATGGTGATTATCCCCTCCCCATTTTTTAGTGTGTTCTTGAAACTGAAAAAAAGTGAGTAAACAGACTGCTGCAACAGCTATTGAGTTCACGTGTTTAAAGAAATCTCTTTGTAAAGAAGAGGAACATTACCAATGCTGCTGCTGAAAGCACTGTATATTTACAGGAATATTCAGTGGCTGCAAATATGAGATTGTATTTAAAATAAAGTGTCTTATTTTAAGCCGTCAGAGTTGTGGAAAGAAGTATACAAAACTACAAACAAATCCGCTGGTACGGCGTGCCCTCGATCTGCTGACAAATTACAAAACGATGCTTCCAGGTACTTGCAGAGTTTCAACTTTGAAGTTTTAACTCTCAGGTCTTCAAAAGGGCCCCGGTTACTGAGAGCTTCACTCCCGAGCAGCAGCCACAGCAGAGCCTGAGCGTGAAGCGGCGTCCGTCTGAGGTCAGAGCGTAACTGCAGGGGGGCTTTTGCCCCGTCTTGGAAGGAAAGGAGCTCCCGTGCCCTCCCGCTCCCTGTTTGCTCACCGGGCCCTCGGCTGTCCTCCCTCTCCGCTCTCGGGCAAGGGCAGGACAGAGTCCTCCTTTCCAGACACCTGAATGCCATCCTGACTCAAAATGTGATTTATTCCTTTGCAATTCTTGCCAAGGTGCAAGAATCTGCCCCTGTGTGGTAAAGTACCCCATTACAGAAAACTGGGAAAAGTAAAATCAGATTTCTAATTTTAACACAAAACATACATGTAGGAATATGTAAGTGACAAGGGGTACATAAAAAAAATGCTGATTATTTAATTTATCAGCCAATGTTAATTTAATAAATGCATGACGTGGATCATTCGTTCTGAGAAAGAACGTTCAACTCATCACGAGACTTCAGATATCTGGGCAGGATAGCTGAGACAGCGTGCTGCGTACACTGGGGAGGCATTGCTGATTCTGTGATGTTTGTGGTGTGATCTCGTAGAGCACGCCGAGGTGACTTACTTCTCACACTCTGTGTCATGGCCCACGGTCAGCTCGCAACCCGGGAAGATTTTGGCTGCCAGCACCGGGGAAATGCAGCACAGGCCAATGGGCTTTTTGGCAGCGTGGAATGCCTTCAGGACGTCCTCCACCTCTTTGGAGATGATGCAGTTCTTGCCTTGGGTGGCCCAAGTACTCAGGTTTTTAGCCACTCCAAAGCCACCTGAGAAAAGAGAAAGAGATTAGAGTGGAAGATTAGTACTCCAGGGCAGGATTTTTTCAGGTATTACTTAGCAGACTGCTAAAATGGATTTGCTGGGTGGCAGCATTTGTCCAATGTTGATAAAAGAATTAAAACCAGACCCGAGGAAGGGCGGCGGGGCCGCGGGTGCGGGTCCCTGTCCCCCTGTTGTCCGAAAAGCGGCTCCGTTGCCCGGTGTGCAATAAACCGATCCTCACACACTCAGGAGAGACGTTGCTTATTTATTTCAGGTTTGCGCAATCCTGGGTGCTCGGTGGCTTCCCACAAATCGAGCGCACCGACTTGATCGCCTACAGCCCTTTCATACTACACAAAAGGCAGCATCAGCAATTAGTCAAGTGTAGAGATAACCTCTCTACATAAGATAGAGATAAACTGGTCTTTTAAGTTTCTCACTTTCATTTAAAGAGGCACTACAACCTTTTTATACTAGGCATGCTCAAAGGGTGAGGGTCTCCTCATTCAGGCTAGGGTCTCACAGCAGCGGCTGTGATTTTTAGTATTATAACCAGGGCAG